AAAGTGATCTATTTAATTTAGTCAGGTAAAGTAAAGTTGATCTACTTAACTATTTGAAATAGAACAAAGATGATCTACTTATTTTACTAAATAATGGTGAAATAAAATACTTTACACGACTTGAGAAAATAAAGATAAAAGTTCTCACCTCCAGTCACATGGATGATGTGTCTGCGAGAAAAAAAAATGTTATCTATCTCTTTTTCTATTGATAAAAGGCATTCTTTTCTTTCTTCTTATAAGTACCTCCTTATTTGAGAAACTATATATATATATAGAGTCGAAACACAAATATAAAACTATATTATCTATATTATTAATTGTATACATCTATCAGTCTCTTTTTCTCTTCAAACGTCTTACAACAACTAATAACAATGAAAAAGATTAATCAATTTATTTATTTAATTGGTTTGCTATTATTATTGACAACATTCATGACAGGAACTGCAATGAATTATAATGGAATCAATCACCGTTCGAAACATTTAATGAAGAAAGTTCAAGATACAGACACAGATTGTGTAACAACTACTGTTCAAAACCAAGCATGTCATGCTGGTCATTGTCATAATACTACAACTTATATTCATGGTTGTGATACTTATGATGGTGATGATGAATGTGATAATCTTACTGTTCATTATAATGTTCATAATACTACTGGTTGGCGTAATACAACTTGTGATCTTCATGCTTGTACTGATTTTCTCAATGATGATGATTGTGCAAACGCTAATTTAACATTTAATTCTTGCACAAATGGTGATTGTCGCAGTGGTATAACTACTATTCATGGTTGTTTTGATTCTTCTTATGCAATTAATCATCTTGGTGTTGCAGACGGTCTTGATGATTTTTTTGATATTCCTTGTATTAACCTTCTTTTTGATACTTTTTATGGTCGACATTTTGGCAATAGCAAAAAATGTAAGTATTTGTATTCTCTAGATATTCTTTCAATTCCGATTGATGTTTCAACCCATCATTCAGATTACTTAATTATTATAGACCGATTAATAATTTGTTTTATGTTTATAGGAGATATATGGAATAAAACACAAATCTACATGGCAACTTCAATAATCCATCATATTTTCATTACTATCGAACATTATTGATTAGTTTCTTTTTATTTTTCTTGTCTTATCATCAAATAAACTAATTTTGAATTATTGTAGAGAAACTTATCTTCTGCATATAAAAATTCAGACTTTAAAATGATTGTTCAATATTAGATTTAGTCTAGAATAACTGCTTAGAAAAATAAGAGCACATAACAACATTTGATTGTATCATACTTGTTGTTCGTATTAGTGAAAGATTATTATTATGTACATCTATGACTCAAAAATGTTTATTGTAATCATCGGTCTATATTTCAGATCATGGATGTTTATGGCAGAGGCATGTTTTCAATAAATTATATTTGCTTATTACATCTGTGAAAGATGTATTTTTATTGATTGTTATTTAATTAACTTTCGAACTTAATGATAACATTAGAAAAATAATGAATAAGCCAAGAAAGAAGGAGCAAAAATCTAGAATTCTGTGGGTGGGTGTGGGCGTTTCTTCTTTTAGCGCACACCCACTTATCCACTCTCAATTTCAAAGATGTTTTTAAAGCATTTCGACTTGACCAATAAGATTTATTGTAAATTTAATTTTGAATGATATCTCAAATCCTTGTTATTAATGAAATCATTCAACAAAAGTTTATATAGTTGCGAATATGATTAAAAAATAAAACTAACTATTTCTCTAATATAAAAATAACGATAGTACGATAGCTATAGTAAAATTTTAGTGGAAACTATAGAAATAATCTTGATTGTTTTGAGAGAAAAAAAATCAATCTAACGGTTTTTCATTTCTATTAAAATATTTTTGCTAAATATAGCTTGTAGATTTACAATTTATCGATAATTGTTATATATTTATTTCGATCATTATAAAATTTTCTTTTTCTACCATTTGACTTACCATCGTAGCATATAAAGAAAGAAAAAATAAGACATATTGCTTACTATCTATGCTTATATAGTCATGGTTCGTTGATTTTTCTTTCGTTTATCTTATATTAATAAATCCGTCGTGTTTGTAAGTAACTTGCATTTAATAGAGAGTATTATTTCATCCTACAATCGTGCTGCATAATACGTAGTTAAATCTCAATCAATACTACAAAACAAAATAAAATACAATTCCAGCTGTATGATAAGTATTATCAAATCTATCAACCAGATTCAAATGTTGCAAGTAGAAGATGCATGTAGATTTAAAGTATTGTATTGTACTTTGTCTTTTTAAAATTTCGAAAAAGTAAGTGGAATATTTATTAACAATATCAAGATCTATATTATTGTCGTACTGACACTGCAGTAGTTCAATTGGTAGTTTCTAACAGATTCGACGCTATGAGATACATTGGTAGGTCTTACTGTATTTTAAGAAATCTCTTTCTTTTCCTCTTTTCTTCGAAAGCAAGTTACACATAATGAGCTGTCTACTTTATTATCGCCAATTTCTGAATCATTTATTGCAAGATATAGTGTTTTTTATTTAAACGATTAAGACAAAACCATGTATCATAATCAGAACAGAAGATTTTTATATTCTTTGCTACCGTCAGGTTGTTGCATAATTTTTTCGTAATCGCAAGTACCCCGTCGTCAGATGATACATACGAATGGCTCTTTGACTTTAGCTTTTTGAATGGCTTGTGTAGCAGCAAAGATTGTACACTAGAACTTTCTCGAAACTCCAGAATAGTTACTTCACACTATGCGATGTTACAAATAGAGAAAAAAAGATAACATGAGTTGTCTAGTTCAAATTCGAATATAAATGAAGGAATAATAATCATAGACGACAATGAGCTTTTTATATTTTTTTCAAATGAATCCTATAACTTGTACTTGTCTTATCTGTGCTTCATTTGTGCAATAATGTATCAAGTATCTGAGTTATTTTGTCTTCAATTTTATTTGTAGATTAAAATATAATTGTTTGTGTTGATCAGCGATCTATCACATGGCATCGAATGACACAGTCGTAGAACCATCAGGTAAGCAACAACATGAAGCCTACTTATATGAAATATACAAAAGTTCAAACATTTCGTTCCGTAAAGAAACTTTTTTCTATTCTTGGAAATTTGATTAGTGAGGAGAAGGCTGAGTGTCGATACCAATCCAACATAGCATTTAAAATAACCATTTCAAAATATTTCTCTTAGATGATCAACAATCTGTCGCATCATTTTCATCGAAGAAACTTTGCTGTGAGGGTCGTGCTTGTATGAAATGTGAAAAATGCCGTGACTGGTGTTACGCTGGTGATCTGGAAACTTGGAAGTGGATCCGCAATCATAAGAACTGGGAGGCGGCAGATCGAAAACGTTGGATGTCTGAAAATGTCTGGAAACGTTTCAAGCATCGAGATGGTTCCACATGTACATGTTTTCATGGTTACAGAGATGATTGTTTTGAATGGGAACTTGAAAGCACACGAAATACTATTGGTCGTTTTTTTACTGATATTTTAACTGAGCTCACTAGTGATCGGACTCGTACTCTCAATCGTTATGACGCAACTGATGGTGGTTATGCATGTTTGTGTGAGGACAACATAGAAACATGACTTCTTGGAATCAACTAGTTTTTATGTAACAGCAGCGAATTTGAACATTCATTCATATATTGTTTTTTTTCAACTTTCTGAAATCTTTTGTTCTGATCTGTGATTACATGTGTAAGGTAGTCTCATTTTTATCAAGATATACTCTAATGTTCGTTAATGATTCTAATAAAGGATCAGATAAACTCCAATGACTTTTAAGCACAAATAGCCGAAAAAGAAAGATCAACTGACTATTTGAGGTATATTCAGACGTATGACTTCATCTGATCAGATTATTTTGACATATAATTACTGGAATACAAAGCATATTTGATCAAATAGATCTTACCATGTTAAAAGAATTGAAGAAAGATATTTCTTATCATCTCTCACTGTCTACCTGGAGTAGCAAAAAATGAATAGTTGATAAATAACATTCTTATCTTTAAGTTTTAAATACAACTACACACAGTTTCTATTTCTTTTGTAAAGAGAATCATCTAAAAGTAAGAAATTTATTACTACCATTAATATTACAATAATATGAATAAGATTTATAGGCTATGTACGTAATACAATTTTGTACAATTCTTCTTATTTATATTGTGACACAAAGTCTTGCAGCACCATACAAAATTTCAAATGGTTGTGGTTATGATGTAAGCGAGCACACGTCTATGTAAAGTATTTGAAATAGATACATAATTATATATTTTAGTCATGCAACCCGGGTAAACCTGATCAAATCAATGTTCATATTGTCGCTCATACACATGACGATGTTGGTTGGCTAAAAACAGTCGATCAATATTACTATGGATGTAAGTTATAACTTAATTTATAAGACAATCATATATTATTTGATGTATTGATCTTTTAGCTCATGGAGAAATTACTAGAAAAGGTGTTCAATATATTCTTGATTCAGTTATTCAGGCATTAGTAGATAATCCTGATCGTCGATTTATTTATGTTGAAATAGCGTTTTTTTGGCGTTGGTGGAATCAACAACCAGAAGATATACGTAACACAGTTAAGAAACTGGTCAATGAAGGTTCATATTAGTCAAATTTATATTATTCTATACATATACTTAAATATATATATAGGTCGTCTGGAGTTTATTTCGGGTGGTTGGTCCATGATTGATGAAGCAGCAACACATTATAATTCAATTATTGATCAACATAGTTTAGGTGCAGAATTCTTGAATGACACATTTGGTGAATGCGCACGACCAAAAATTGGTTGGCAAATTGATCCATTCGGTCATTCGCGAGAAGTTGCATCGCTCTTTGCACAGGTTACATTTGTCTGAAAATGTGATACTTGATATATATATATATTTTTCTATAGATGGGCTTTGATGGTTACTTTTTTGGACGTGCAGATTATCACGATATATTAGGTCGTTCTGCGGAAAGAACCAGAGAAATGGTGTGGCAGGCAACTGCCGATTTAGGTTAGTGTTTTTTCGACTATGTTCATTCGATGAACTCTCATTTTAAATCTTCATAGATCCTCAAAACTGGCTTTTCACGGGTATTTTACCACTTTATTACTTTGGTCCGCCAACATTTTGTTATGATATCACCTGTAATGATCCACCAATTGTGGTATATCATTGTTTATTAATTTCTCTATTTTCTTGATGAACTCAGCGATTTTAGGATGATAAAAATGTGCACGATTACAATGTACCGGAACGTGTTGAAGCATTTATTGGAGCATCATTAGCTCAAGTTTGTTTAAAAAGAAATTTTCCTTCCATGAATTCTATTTTTATTGTTCATAGGCGGAAATCTATGCCACCAATCATATCATGATGACAATGGGCGGTGATTTTTATAATCAAAATGCTCTTGAGGATTTCAAAAATTTAGACAAATTAATATATTATGTTAATCTACAGGTATGTCATTATTATATCTTTGATTAACTTTATTCGAGATTTCATTCTCAGCAAGCGAATGGTAGTGGCGTCAATATCTTTTATTCAACACCGTCATGTTATTTATACGCCTTGAATAAAGTGGGAAAAAAATGGCCAACAAAAACCGATGATTTCTTTCCTTACGCCAGTACTCCATTTGTATATTGGACAGGTTATTTTACTTCAAGACCAGCATTAAAACGTTATGAACGTTATGCTAATAATATTCTTCAAGTAACTCGTCAACTAAATGGATTTTCACAATCGAATCTACGAAATATTATTTTTGATTTAAGTAAGAAATAATATACATTCATTTAATCGATTAATTATTAATCATATTAAACAGGTGAAGCAATGGGACTGGCTCAACATCATGATGCAGTTAGTGGAACATCGAAACAACATGTAGCTGATGATTATGCTCAACGACTTTCTGATGGTATTGATCGAGCAACAGTATGTCTTATGATATGTAATTGTAATGCAATGAAATATATATTCTTTAGGACGTAATCAATGATGCTTATGCAGAACTCTTGCCTAAAGATAGTCGATCAACACCAATTCCTCACCAATTTCTCTGTCCATATTCGAATATAAGTGCATGTCTTCCGATTGAAGGACAGAAACAAGTACGTTTAATTAATTTTTCGAGATAGACCAGGAGAGATTATTTCAATTCTGTTCTTTAGTTCACAGTGACACTTTGGAATCCAACTATTCATCCAGTAACAGTTCATCATCATGTACCTGTAACTGGACAATATTTAATTTATGATCCAAATGGAAATCTTATTCCAGCTGAGGTACATAATCAACGATACATAATGAAAAAAAGAAATTGTTATTTTTCTTCATTTTATAGTATCTTTCGATTCCCGACACAATAAAAAATATTCCTGGTCGAATGAGTTCTGCTCAAAACCAATATGTGTTTCGAGCATCATTACCAGCGCTTGGCTATAACACCTATTATTTTGAAGCGAAAAGTAAAGACTAGAGTTTGAACCAGAATTATCGATCAATTTTCTTTCTCTATTACAGCTGATACGAACAAGATCAAACATAAGGAAGCAATAACAACAACAAATGAAGCATGTATTCTACAGAATGAAGTAGGACATCATTTCTGAATGTTTATATCGATAAATTATTGTGTGATTACTAGTATTTGCGTGTAGTATTTAATGATCAAGGCAATTTAAAACATATTGTCAATTTAGCAAAGAATTTGACAGTATCATTTACTGGACAAGGTTTCTATTGGTATATTGGTAAGTAGTATTGTTTACGATAGAAGAAATTTTTAAATAATTTTTATTCAAGGTTATGCTGAGGGTAAGACTACTCCATTTTCACCAGCATCAGGCGCTTATATCTTTCGACCATTGCATCCAGAAGCATTTCCTGTGAGTCTTGTAGCTCGTATGTGAGTATTTCTGTTCAATAGATAATTTTCTTAAAGATTATTGTATTTCGAAAAATACCAATAGAAATTGTACAAAAACAGATACTGTACAAAAAGCATCGATTGTGTACAATAACTGGACTAGTCAAGAATTTAGTCTCTATCGTAATGCATCAGCCGTTGAAATTGAATGGATAGTTGGACCAATTCCAATAGATGATAATATCGGTAAAGAGATTATTATTCGTTATAATACTGATATTAAGAGTGAAAAAAAATACTATACGGATGCTAATGGACGCCAAGTTCTCGAACGTATTCGTGATTATCGACCAACATGGCATCATGTGCCTGATGATCTTGTTAGTAGCAACTATTATCCAATAAATAGTCGCATTTGGATTCAAGATCAAGATCGACAATTCACTATTCTTACTGGTAAGTAATAATTTTCGAATGCAAATTATTTTTCATTCAATATTTCGTAGATCGATCCCAAGGTGGTGGAAGTATATATGATGGATCAATTGAAATTATGGTGCATCGTCGATTGTTACACGATGATTCAATGGGTGTTAAAGAAGCTTTAAATGAAACTGCTTATGGCAAAGGCCTTGTTGTTTCTGGCAAACATATTCTTCTTTTTGATCGACCATCAGATAGTGCTCGATTACATCGAACCGGTGCTCAACAATTATTTATGCATCCTCTAGCAACTTATTCATTGCCGAATACATCATCTCATACAAATTATTCGAATATGTTTCGTCAAAGTTGGTCAGCTTTATCAGATGCAATGCCATTAAATGTACACTTACTAACATTCGATCAATTAGCTCCTAAACAATATCGTGTCCGTGTTGAACATTATTTTGAATTGCATGAAGATGAATTCTATTCAAAATCAGTAACCATCGATCTTCAAACATTATTCAAAAGTATCGGTACCATAAATGATATGACTGAATTAATATTGACTGCAAATTTACCATCATCCGAGTTGCATCGACTTCAATGGAACATTAAAGATCAAGAATCGTCACATACCAATATGTTTCGTAAGCTATATTTTCATTAAAATATATCTGAAATGATATTATATCTATATTTTATTTGTTTTTTAAGAGCAATACTCGTCGAATGTGACAACAATCACTCTCAATCCAATGCAGATTCGAACATTTCAAGTCAACATCGCTTAGATATTAGCCATCAAATTACTTTCTTTTCATTGATTAATTATAAACTGACATTTTTTATTGAACTATTTCAACATATATTAAAATAGAAATATGATCGAATTCTTACAGAGTTTTGATGGATATCTTGAGAGTGTGGGTGGATGAGTGTGAATAGAAAGAGTAGAGACACATCCTCAAGATATATAAATCCTCTGGAGTTTGTAGAAATAATTCGCAAAAACGTTTTCTCACGGACTTTTCGAACATCCTGTATACGATGGTGACATATCAGCTTGCCTCCTCTGAAGAAAAAAAAGTGAAAATGTGAATTTACATTCAGTTTGTAAATAAGTTATTGACGATCATGTTACTGGCCGAGAAATTTGAAGCATGCGATTAATGACTGAAATTTGTTCTGTACTGTTTTTTGACGTGGCAGCACTTTCAAATAAATATGCAAACATTCGCTCTCACATAATGCACAATTCTTAAACTTTTTTTTCTGATGTCTATTAGTATAAACAACGTGAGTGTTTGGTGGTATTTCAAAACAGTAACTATTTCATCAGTGACAGAATTACAAAGAATTATGTCCACGTCATCGTAACCTGACAACACTTTTGCATTTCTGTTACAGTCAACGTATTAATTCACTCTGTTACGATACATTTTAATAACAAGAATGTTGTTGTTTTGTTAGGTTTCTTCAAATGTATAGAAACAGGCAATAAATCAGTATAAATAATTCGGTATTTCATATTAAATACTCATTTGTGTATTATTTTTCATTCATATTTTCAACAAGATGGGTTGCTGTTCTTCCAAACCTGAAGCTGTGGCAAGCGATTCCCCTCGAAAATATACTGTAACCAACGAGGTTGTGAGTACACCAATTAATACGGGGCGATACAATAAACTTGGCATTAGCACAACCGATCCTTCACTACTTATCAAAGGTTACGAAGATGAACCTTTACTTTCACTTGAAGAAGCGCTCAAACCTTTCGATGGCAAAATTTCCCATTTGGATAATCAAATTAAGGAAGCAAAATCTAATTGTCATTATCCATCAGAACATAATCTTACCCGTGATGAGTCTGCTGCTCTCTATCTTTATTTAATTCATGATAAGGGAGACACTGTCTACAATAATTTGCAAAAATCATGGGACTTAAACGATCGAGAGCAAATGAAACCTTGGTTCAAATATCTCAAGTTACTAAAGAGTGGACTGAACAAGCTTCCCGATGCAAAAACAGAAGTTTGGCAAGGTACACAATATGACAAGGACGCAGAAAAAATACTTCAATCGAAATCATTACAATTATATGCTAGTATGGGATTGAGTTCACCCACATATCAACAAGTAAAGAGCGATCTTCAGGGAAAGTCAGGATCAAAAGCAATACTTGTTGGATATCAGCATGTTGATGGAAAAGATGTATCTGGTTATGGTCCAAACACTCAAAAAGAAACTATGATATGGCCCGGAGTCAAACTAAATCGAGGAAAACAGAATGGACTCGATAAGAATGGTTCTCTGATTTTTCATCTAACTGGAAAATCTAGTAAGTATAAATTTTGTCTTTGTTTGAAATATAGTGTGAGAGAAACATGATCGCGAAAGTTATTTTGATGCTTGTGATATGATGTCATCTCTTGTTTTTTAGAACCTGTCGAACCACCACCAGATAACTCATCGAATCAAACACCAAGACAAGAATCAGACACAAAGCATTTTGTATGTCCAACAGAAAAATGTCATAATGGTTGCCGTGGTCGTCACCCTGAGGGTCATTGCTATGGTTTTGAACGAGTTATGCATAAATGTTCACATCATTGTGGTCCTGTACTTACTTGTGCTACCTGTAAGAAACCTCTTACAGATTTAAATGAATGTAAACGATGTCACAAACGTTATTGTGATGATTGTTGTTATGAATACACAAATTTTAGAGACTTCGAATAAAAATTTGTGGCGAGTACGACTCATATTTATTTTCTCTGAAGAAAGGCAACATTGTGAAATTTTTACCGGGTGTTGTGGGTGACCGTAAAAACAGAATGTTCAAACCCACACCCTCAAGATTAAATATAACTTAAAAATCAGTCTATTTGACCAAGATATTTTTAAAATAGAAATGTGCATATTCATTTTATTTGTGTGTAAAAAGCAAATGCGTTGTCAAGAAAAATAATGCGTTTATAAATAATCTATTATCTACTCCGTAAGTAATATGTCGTCAGAAAGTTACTATTATAAAAAAAAATCTTTTTCTTACTATTTCTATGTAATTAATGTTTATCGCATGCGCTGCGTTGTCATGAAAGGAAGAAAAAGAAAAAAAAAGTAAAGCACACGTTCTCTAATTTAATATGTTCGAATGAAAAAAAAAGTATTTAATATGAAAGTGCATGGCTTCTTTATTGTTTATAAAAACATGTATTTATTACTATAAACTGATTTTAATTTATCAAAAAAAACTGTCATTAATATTGTATTAAACTATAATTTCTTAGTCTGATATATACATGAAATTAATTTTTGTAAGTATAAAAAATTTAATTTATTTCTAGTAATATATTGAAGGTAATTTTTGCTTATAATTCTAATTCTATAAGTTGAAATAAAAAGTAGACTAGATAGTAAATAAAGACTGTTAATAGAAACATTTGGAAAATTTATTTTTCAAGGATAAATTTAAAAAAAATAGTGTCAACAGGTGTCGTAGTTATCTGATTGAATACTTTTATAGAAACTCGATAAAGGTCGAGTGCTTTGTATGCAAACTCTAACAGAAGAAAATGATCAAATAAAGGAAGTCCAAAGCAATGATTATATCTCAATTCATAGATCGCTCTATTTACTTATAGTATTAAATTGAGATTGTATATTTATTCTAGCATTCCAGTGCAGCCGAATGACATCTGTCGTCCACATTCATATATTAGAACTTGCAAATGATCCATCCAAACCATGTAGAATCTGTTTAGATAATGATAATCCAAGTAACTTAATTAGTCCATGTTTATGTAGTGGTAGTCAAGCATATGTTCATAGGAAATGTTTAAATGATTGGCGATCAAAAAATGCAAATGGACAAGCTTTTACATATTGTGATATATGTCAATTCAATTATATAATTGAAACTATTATCAATGATCGAAAAGCTGATAGAAAACGGCTATTAAAATATTATTTATATGTATTTCGTGATTTAATATCGATTATTTTATTAATTCAATTAATTATTATTAATTTAGCATTTTTATTAAAGACTGTGGATAAGAATAGTCATTATATTAAAAATCTATTTCCGAATTCAATCAATGAATTTGTCGTTTATTATCTAACTGCTTTTATATTATTAATGGCTATTTTTGGTCTTTTTATTTTCATTATCTTATTTTATATTGGTGATTTAGACAGACATAATTGTAATTCAACTAGAAAGAATTCTTTTAATTATAATCAAGAAAGTGCACTTGAAATTTTGTTCGTTATTATTATTATGGTATTAATATGTGCTTTCATTGGTATGTTCATTGGAATTATTTTAAGTATCATTATTTCGAAGAAAATCATGAAACATCATACTGAGAAAATATGGTTACAACAAGAAGCAGAAAAATATATTGTTCAAGATTTTCAAGAAAGAAGACATGAATTAGAAAACTATAAAAAAAATTTGCCCAGAGAATGTTAAATATGTGATTATTTTTATTTCACTTACTTTCAGTTCACATATATTTAAAGTCATATATTTCTATTTCTATTTTATTAATAGAGTAATTCGTATTTGTTTATATTGATCTTAGAACGAAATATTTTAATTAACTACTTTTTTTCTTTTTCCTTTTGTTTTCAAACGTTGTTGTTATAATTGATAATTATAAGCCAAAATGTCATTCGCTACTCAATTCATTGATTCTTTGAAAAAAAAATAATACAATTCCTATCGTTATTTCAAAGGAAGTTTTTTAATGATCTTCTTGCAGTTGTTTAATAAACTTGAACGAAATTTCAATACTTTCTGATTATCTTGATAAATATGTTGGTCAGCATCATCTTCTTAATATAAAATAAATAATTTCATTTTAAATTTAATCTAAAATAAAGAAAAAAAAGATCTTGAACAACATATTATTATATTTCATCTTGAGGGAATGGGTGTGAGTGTTGAATAAAGACAATACTGACATCCACAACCCCATCTACGTCTGGAGAAAGCAAATAGTATAATTGATAGAACTCATCGAATTCTATTTGCAATCGATCCATTAGCAAATACAATGAGAAAAAAATTCGAATCTTATTCTTTGATATCTTAAAAATAAAACTGTCAGATAAAATTTTATTTTATTGCTCGTCAAAGTAAAATAAAAATTAAGTATCGTCTGGAATCTCATAAATCTATCATATGTACATCACATGGTAATTCATCGTTCCATAATAATAAAATTTAAAAATACCGATCACAAGTGCTCATAAATTACAAAATAATTGCTTTGATCATGTGATATTCATCATCTGACTATGTTTTCTTCGATAATTAATCATTTTATGATAGACAGTGAAAGTAAGTATAAAAGGCGCCTGTAAGAAGCTTTGTTTCATAATACAATCATGTTACACTGTGTTTCTTGTCTTATTCTCGGTTTCTTTTTACCAACGCTTGTTGCGGGTTTCTTTATACCAACGTTTGGTGCGTATGACAATTGCATTGAACAACGTCGTTTCGAAAAAATAATAATATTCGGTGATTCATACTCGGATCAAGAAAATGGTTATAAGTTAACCAATAAAACATGGCCTCTGTCACCTCCATATTATCATGGACGATATTGTAACTATCGTAATTGGGTTGATCAGCTAGAAGTACGTGAAATAAAAAATTATGCCTATCCAGGTGCAACAACTGACAATAGACAAGTACAAGGCTACACAAAGTTTAATACTATTCCTGTTCCTGGAGTTAACCAACAGATCGATAAATATTTCAATGAATACAGCTCAAATATCATTAGTTCTGAAAAGACTCTTCATATCATCTGGGTTGGTGGCAACAACATACTTTTCAATCCACTATTACCAATACTTGATATTGCAAGCAATCTAACAAACTTAGTGACAAAGTTATGTGAAAAAAATGCCAAACATGTTCTAGTATTTAATGTACAACCAGCTCAGTATATTCCTGCGCTTTCAACATATGCAAATGCTACTACATTAACTGAATTGTCAGCAGCATTCAACTTTCTTGTAGCTTCCTATCTACATGCAATTCAACAAGTGTGTCCACAAACATCAATCAATATGTTTGATATTAATTCACTTTTCACGAAAGTTATTACAGAAGGTCATGATTACTTTAAAGATACAACCAATAGTTGTTGGACTGATGTGAATCCGACTACAATCATCAAAAATTGTAAGGATCCTAATAAAAATGTGTTTCTTGACAATATACACGTTACTTATCCTGTTCATCAATTAATTGCTGATGTCATTCAAAAGTTTTTGTGCCCTTCATATCAAGTGAACACTGCTAGTTGCTATATTCACAATGTTTAACATATTTATATCATTTTCTTTTGCCTTCATATGAAGTGAACACTGCTAATTATTATATTCAAAATGCTTAACATATTATATCACTTTCTTTTTTCTTTCTAATAAATTTCATATAACCTATCTACATGGAACATTATTCGTCTAGATCTTATCTTTTATGCAGGATATAAATGTGGGTATGGATGAGAACTCGACAGTTCACTATTCATCTGCATCTACACTTTATAAGATTTTTTTCGTAATCATCATGATCGTCATTTTTTTATTATCGATTTAAGTTTATAAATAATTGTACTTCTATAATTTTCTTTATTGAATTTAATGTTTAGTATCATCAAGAATGTGAATATTTATATGCAAAAGTGAAATAAATGATAAAGTGGGAGTGCCTTTATAATACGAATTTTATGAATTGATTTGATATCTATCCTTATTTCAATCATTCATAATACTGTCAAGTATGATTAAATCAAACAAACGAAAACAAATTTCTGAAGTATATAGAAATCCAGTAAACTGTTAACAGAGACAATACCATCTACTTACTCGTTCTAAGATTTTATCAGATCATCGAATGACAGAAAGACTGCAAGCAGTTGTTAAGCTTATTTATCGTTTATTCTCTAAAAGAAAAGAACAGAAGAAAATCAATGATATACAAAAAACGATTTGTTTTTCTTTTTCTACTTTATTTGTTCATTCATTCATTTATCTATTTAAAATTAAAAGATGTTTTTTTTTCATTAAGTATTCTCTTAGTATCATTACTTATTGTTGATTTCCTTAAACTATTTTATTTACATTCAACACACTCTACCCAAGAGAAGAAAAATATGTTGAATAAAACGACGATTATTAATGGAAAGAAGAAAATAAATGTCAACGACGATAGCCATAAATATTGCAGTAGAAATGAGTAAGAATAAATGAGAAAAATATGTATTTCTAATGAAAAACAAGAATCGTACGACGCGTGATATAGACAAACTGACGTATTTTTTTTTCTTTTTCTCTTTCTTACTGTAACATGTATTACCGCAGAATAGAAAAAAATCATTTTCTTCTCGTAGACTTAATACTAACATACGAAATATGGCTCGACGGCTAATCAATAGTGGTTTATTTTCGATTAATAAAGTAAAGTTCTTTTTTTTCCATATCAAAAACCAATTACAATAACTTTTTATTCTGCATTACACTAGAGTTTTTCAAGTCCAACATTTATAATCAATAGAACAGCTTCATCAAATATTGCTGTAAATAAATTGAAAATCTTAGGTGTTGGTGCAGGTACTAAACCCATAGAAAAAATGCAGAAAACTTTAACGGAAAAGGGATATAACAATATCAAACTTTTGGGCCTTTACAACACGGAAGAAAGTGATCAGAAATTGATAGCAGCACTGAAAGAAAAGCAGTGGGATGCAGTTACCATTGGTTCGTGAGACGCTCTTAACTATTCTTTGAGATTGATATTTAACTGATTTGTCTTTGTTTTACATTGTAGGTAGTTATGTTAACGGTTTCGATCAAGCTGCACACTATCAAGAAGAGGGTGTGTCTACAGATCGTACAGATATACTTCTTTGGTTTAATCGTGTTTTAAATCTTGTACATGAATCTGCACCAAAATCAAAAATTGTTCTTCTTAAAGGGCCCCACGATTTTCATGATGCAATACAAAGAATCATGGGTGCCGAACAAAAATAAATTAAAATTTAATTTGACTGGATTTTCATTGGATTATTTGTATACACATTTAATAATAAAAAATAGATTTTTGCGTATTAGTTAAACAGGCGATCGGTGTGAGTTAGTTTTGCAATTAGAGACCAGCTACTTCAAGAAGTCGGTCAGGAAGTATATACATTTATTTCACGTTAACGAGAATGTCTATGTAAACATTACTCATTCACACAATTTAATCATTTGCGTGTGTACTTCTAGAATTTTCGTGAAGGGAAAAGTATGAATATATACTATAAATAGTCTTTTTTTCATATGATTATGACGATATCAAAAAAGGTTACGCACTATTATACGAAAATAAATGAAGTATCATTAGCGTTTGTATTCTATCAAATAAATAAAAGTTGTACAAAAAAACTAATTATAAATGTTTGAACGTATTTTTCTGATGTTATCACATATAAAAGTATTTATCGAACGTAGTTCCACTAAAAAGATAACTTATTAAGTATTATCTTACGTTTAATTTTAATATTCAGTATTTTATTTCATTGAAAAAGATATTATGGAGAATACGAGGGTGTGGATGTAAGTATTAAATGTATACTATATAGGAAGTAGTCATAATATTCTGACAAGGAGATATTCCAAACAAACTATGATACTCTTAACAAAAAAGGTAATGAGTAATTTCCTGTACGTTTTGTGAAATGTTTTTTAGATAGACATGTAGAGAACATATCAGGCTATGCGTCAGTGTTTTTCATTCGACAAAACGATAAAAAATTAAAAAGATATGAGTCGTTAGAAATCACTTTTTCAGATATCGCTCATAATAATCTCAATCTACTATATTAATCATTTATATTATAAAATATAGCATAGTTGGTTTGTACAAATACAAAATATTTATTAAGATGTGTATTAGGAGAAAAAAGATAAAATTAATTTATTGTTTATATTCGTTCACAACAACCTGATTGACATGCTTCACATAATTCTTTTACATGTGGTCCATTCATTTGACGTTCTTTATTGATATCTCGGTTCTGTGTTTCTGGTCGTTCGTCGCCATAATAATACCAACCAAATTTCTGATAGAGCGTTTCAAGATATGATTTCATTTTATCATTTTCAAACTCGGGATCAACAAAATGGTTATTTCTATTGGAGCATCTTTTACATTGTTGACCATAAAAACGAAGTGTTACTTTTCTAGATGACGTTTTTGATTTTGGATGGTATAAAACTACTTGTGCTTTAGCAGATGACCAGGTCTTTGAACATTTTTTACAATGGAAACTATAAAAAGAATTAACCAATAAAATAAAATGAAAATAATAATTAACAAACTGTGCATATCCAGTTCTCGTCATTTTTACACAATTCTTTTGAAGATTTTCATATTGGCTCATATCATTTCTGTGAAGAAAAGTTAATATCCAATTATCAGAACAATCTTCAAATACTTCATCAAATAAATCTTGCCAATCAATAAATGACATTTTATTAATTGTCGAGTTGTTTTTCTAGAAATAATTTTTTTTAATAAATTAAAATATAATTTTAAACTATAGATACATACCAATTTATTTCAGTGTATAATAAACGAAGAAAATAAAACGATGTATATATAATATATATTCTCCCATTATGGATTTTTATTAATAAGAAAGAACGAAAAAAACCAAGTCATAGACAATATTTGCTTTTCTTCTTAGATACAATCTACCAGGTAAATCAAGTATACCCACATTGGGTATTTTTTAAATATCTCATCAATATTAAATTACACGAACTTAAATATTTTCCATCAAGTTGTCTATTACTTTTATGATAAATGTTAAAAACAAAAAAATTTATATTTTATTTAGGTCATTTCAAAAGTAGTTATACTAACACTTTATTAGTAAATAGTAAATTGATGAGAAATCTTGTTTTTTATGTAATAGCATTAAAACTAATACTGTGTCTATCTATGGTAGTAATTAACTCTTAAACAGATGTAATGATAAAAAAACTTTGATAAAAAGTATTTCTAATGAGAAATGACGATAATATAATATATTTCTTTTATGCATAGTTATTTGTTGATATTTTTTCTTCCTTTTCTTTTGTCGTTCTGTTTAATATCTAGTTGTCTACTCATATACATGTGGAGAGACACATGTCTTGTTTTGTTTATTATGAATGTGCAGTTCGATTTTGTTTTTCAAAAGTGAACAAAGGTGGGTGGCGATGCGAGTGTAACATAATACTATCCACACACATACTCTCAAGATAGTATACATTGTTTTGATGAAGTCAGAATCTTTAAAAAGAGTTGAAAACTAGAGTGGCGAATATAGGGAGCATGAAGATGGAAAATATTGAAGAAGAAGGTTTTGTTTTGTCTTTGAAACAGTATTGAAATATTTTATTCAAACGTGCACAAAAAAATTAAGAGTATTTTGTAATCTAGTGTTTTTAATAATAAAATAAGTAAAACAGTATTTCATCTTTGCAGGTGAATATTGGTTATTGAGTAACGATCCCTTGCAGCTGATGTGGACTCTCAATTGTACTTCCATCTGTGATTTTATAATGATCTAATGTCCATCCATCTTCTAGTTGATGGCCTTGAAATAAAAGTCGTTGATGATACCTATTGATGCCGGTCCTCTCTTCGAGTTGTACTCTCAATTTTTCGCTTGGATCCGAGGCGTTCACTTCGGAGGTCAGAACAATATTGTCTCTTGATTTCACATAAATTTTCATATTCCTAGAATAGAAAAAGCGATCAAGTGACTCCTCAATACAAATGAGAATCAGGAATTGAATGTAAGTAACGTAAAAAAAGTATTGTTTTTTATACGATGATGAGTTGTTGGAAATTTAATCTGTTATTTCAGTTGTTTTTTCCTTTTTACACGAGTGTTTGGTAAATAACATGTTAGTCATCTGCTGACACGTGGAGAGATACTCTACGAAAAAAAACATTTTTATTCTTTATATTATCTTTTATTTTGCATTGCTTATGAAAAGCTTCTCATATACGGGTTATCTCTATACATTTGTATGTATTCAATCCGTAAGGTGAAAATTAAGTGTTGTATGGTAGTGCGTGTATATATGAACGACGACAGGTATCGCTAATATGATCCTCATATCGAAACTCACACCAACACCCTCAAGAATGTAGTGAGCATGAAAATGAAAAATATTACAGAAGGAGATTTTGTTTTAACTTTGAAACAATACTGAGATATTTTATTCAAATGTATACAAAAAAAATTGAGAGTAGTTTGTAAGCTAATTTTTTAATAGTAAAATAAGTAAAAAAGTATTTTATCTTTGCAGGTGAATGTTGATTATTCAGTAACGAGGCCTCGCAGCCTGTTTGTGCTCAGAAGTTTACTTTCATCAGTGATTTTATAATAATCAAATGTGCACCAGTCGTTTAGTGATTGGCCTGCAAATATAAGTCGTAGGCCCTTTGGTTCGATGCCTATTCTTGCTGCGGCGTGTTCTCTGAACTTTTCGATTGTATCCGAGGCATTCACTTCGAAGGTCAGAGTGATACAGTCTATTGATTCCAGATAAATTTTCATATTCTCAGAATAGAACAAGCGATTTAACGGAGTATTCAACACAAATTTGAATCAAGAATTGAATGAGTATGGCTTCAAAAAAAGTGCTGCTTTTTATACGATGGTGAGTTGTTAAAAAATTCAACGTATTGTTTAAGTTGTTTTTTTCCTTTTTGCATTACTGGCTGGTAAAAAAAGCACGTGAGTCATTTGCTGACACATTGAATAATCGTCGACAAAAAAACAGTTGGCAATTATTATAGAAAGAGAGAAAAATATTGTTGCTCCTGCTGTTATGTTTGATTTTGCGTTGCTCATGAAAAGCTTCTCATATTGAGTTATTTGAATTTATCAAACAATTAGCTACTGATTAAAATGTACTTTGAAATAAGCAAGAGTGTATTTGCTGCATTACATAAATGGTTTCAGTTGACCCATGCATTCTTTCTTCGCTTTTGACGAGCAAAAGATGAAAGGTAAATATGATAATTTCTGTTGACTCTCAACAATTGATTTTTTCTAATTTCTTGAAAAAGAAGCGATACATCCTGAGAGTGTGAGTGAGGATAGGTATCGCTAATATGATCCTCATCTGTTAACATTTCGAGAAAATTATTTATCCTTATAGCTCTTGATTTAAATACATAACAACAAACGCATCACACATTATATGTTGTGACGATTTCTAATATCTAGAATCACATCGTTTTCATACAGAGCAAGCGCTTATAATACTCGGTCATCAACGAATATAACAAGGACAAAATACGATGGGAACAAAGTATCACATGGTGTATGAAATAAGGATAAAAAGATAATGATAATACATAAAATGTGAAAAAAAGAAGACAAACGCCGTTATAACTTCGATAATTTTTCAGATTGTAAGATACATATTAGTGTTTTTGCAACAATATGATTTTAATTATATATGATGAATATCCATTTTTTATTGAAAAAGTGGTAAGTAAAGAATTATTACATGGTGTATTTCCAAATACATTAACCGACATACAAAAGAACTATATCAAAACAATATTTAATGAAGTTATGTTTATCAATGATTATCAAAAAAATATTAGAGAAACTCTTTATGAATTATTTGAAAAATATAAATATACAAAATTAATTGCTCCAAGAGAAACTGATTTATTATTAGCTGGAGAATTAAGAGATAAATATGGAATTAACGGACAAACATTATTTAGTGCTATGTGTTTTCGTGATAAAGTTTTAATGAAAACTATATTACAAAAATCGAATATACGAGTTCCAAAATTTAAATTAATTCAAAATCAAAAAGATATAGATGATTATCTTATAGAAACTAATCATATTTATCCTGTTGTTATAAAACCAACATCAATGTCTGGTTCACGAGATGTAACAATAATAAAATCATATGATGAAATTCATGAATGGTTAAATAAATATGACTTTAATAGTAATACTTGGCAAATTGAAGAATATATTTCAGGAGATTTTTATCATATTGATGGATTAATTCAAGATGGAAATATTATTTCAATATGGCCATCGAAATATGTTAGACCTTGTGCTGAAATATCCTATGAAAAATTAGATTGTTCTTATATTATACCACATGATCATTTTTTATTACAACCGTTATGTTTATTTACTAAAAATGTTCTACATGAATTACAATTATATTCAAAATATAAATTAAATTCAGCTTTTCATATGGAACTTTTTTATAGTAATAATGAAATTGTATTTTGTGAAGTAGCAAGTAGAGTTGGAGGTTGTAGAATACATGAAAATTGGAGTCGAGCATTTGATATAGATTTATATGAACAACATATTAATATGTCATTCGATTATAAAATTAATATTGAACAACCAATGAAACCAAAATTATTGATAGGTACATTACGAATTCCATCAAAACGTGGAACTATTATTAAAATACCAAGTGTAGTCAATAGTGATATTAAGGGTATAGATGGATATATATGTCATAGACCTGTTGGTTCTATTGTTGATTTGAAAACAGAAGATGGTTTTTCGGTAAATCTGATTTTTAGTTTTATTACTGGAAAGAATGAA